GGCAGTGTTGCGTCAGCGAGTCACATGACTACTGTGGCGCCCTCTAGTTTCTAGAACTATCTTGTTCTTTCATGAATGCTCTAGATAGGGTAGTCTGGTATATATAAGAGGGGGAAAACGTGACGCCACGTTTCTAGAACTATCCCGTATCTTGGCGAATGCTCTAGTATTTGCTAGATATAGGGTAGGCTGGTATATAAAAGAGGGGAAGGTAATGTGTGAGTAGACAGTGAGTAATTGATCTGCAGTCAGAAGTATTATTGAGCACGTTCGTTGCGTTGTTTAGCGCGATTGTTGAAGTTGAGTGTATCGGTAAAGTTGTATTCGGAAAGAATAAACCAGTTTTATTAAGTAAAGAACTTGTGTCGCTAAAGTTTTGTCGGAACGAAGTTACGAAAAGTTAATTAACAAACGGAGACGTAACACAGTCAATGAGTTCCGTCTTTATCAGGCTTGTTTTCAACTAGTAAATCACTACGTAATTTGAAAAACTATTATGTTGTTGTTTCAGTCTCATCATAAGCATGACAAAAAAGCGATATCAGTATGTTCACACCACCTGCACTGTAATTGCTATAATCAATTTTAACTAAACATTTACCCTAATTAAAAGTTGAATTTCATAGTCTATAAACTTACCGCTGATCAATGTCTTGCAACATGCGTCTTTCGATTGCGTATCACAAATATAAAGAAAGCTCAAGCATAAATGTTTTCCCTTTATGTTTAAAATATACGTTTTCACAACTTTTAGTATCTTATTGTACAGATATACAATTATAATTGAAGTTTTTAACATTTATTCCTTAACTAATTGTAAACATTCGTTTTACAAAAAACAAAACACGATAATTGGTCGTGGTGGTTGATGTTACATTTAGAACTTCTGTGGGAGGATATTTGTATCAGTAGAGTTTATTTTGTTTCCAAGATGGACAAATTGATCGACAGAGTTAAAACTCTTAATGCTAAACTTGAGAAATATAAAATAGATTGTCAAGGTAAAAGTTACTTATTGTATAAATCGTATATTGTAATATAAGTTAACATACCTACTTCTTTTTAATTCTTTTTTTTAAGTAAAGCCGTTCTTCCACAAAGTTACGGTTTCATTAACACTAACAATAAATTTAATTAATAATAATAAGTTCAGTTCCACTACTACTACTAGTACTAGTAGTGAAAAGTACTATTACGAGTAACTTACTACTGTTATTCGGGGTAATATTACTAAGTAATGCTAATACTAGTAATACTAATAGTAATACACACAATAGGATTGGAATGAAACTTGGAAGCAGATATGAACTTGATAGTTGAAGAGGGCTTGACAAATAGTACTTGGGTTATAACTTACGTATGTATAGATGAATCATAGGTGTTTGATTAAATGAATGGGACAAAGACAGGATAGGCCAAAGTAGCTCTACTAGTACTACTAGTGTTAGAAACATAAAACTGCCTCAACTCTTTCAATACGGGGTCATTCAATGTGACGACCTCGTAACCACTTTGTGCTTGTTATAGTTTTCATGCTATAACTTTTAAATTATAAGTGGACGTTAATGAAATTTGGTAACTTATTAGTAAACATTACAATGCTTTTATACACAAAATGTCTAATTTTTTTATTTAGTCGTAAGGTTTGTAAAGCAATATTTGTCTCATGCCTTTTTTTCTTTTCACATCTTGCCTATTTATCTTGCAAAGTAATTTTCATTTTAAGGTTAAAAGTACTTTTATGCATCAGAAAATTTTGAAATTTCATATGTGAAATTTTTATAGTGTCCGAATAGTTATCAAATGTTTCTTTATTTTCAGTAATTAATTTCTGTACGGGTTCAGTAGATTTGACCGATCTTGCAACCACCATAAAAAATTTGGAAATAAATATAAATTATGCCTCTTTCATTCTAGAATGAACACAGATTATAACACAAAAACATAAATGTTTAGATGAAATAGCTTAAATCTTATAACATTATACATTTATATATATTTATTATTTTTTATTATATTGTCCTTTCACCCATGCCTGTGCACTCATGTTACCGTATCAAATAACATAAAACTGACCTTTGGTCTGTACAAAGTAACTTGTCTTGGCTGTGTTTTAGTCGACTAGTATTTTGTAAAATACAGTCACA